TAGGATCATAAGGAAGATTCAACACGAACTACGCAGAAAGCATCTAAATTGCAACATGGGAGTCACTGCTCAACTCTCAAGGCTGGTGAGAAAACAGGTAGGTGTCACAGTACATGCCCGTCAACTACACGTCGCGTGTGAAGAGATCCCTAACTCTGTGCTTGAATCACGCTTAACAGAAGTCGTCTCCTACTGTCTGCTTGTTTCTTCTCCGGAACAAATAAAAGATGACTCAGATTGGTCTTCATAACCCATAAAAAAATTAGTGAAGGAACTTAATTGTTTGTACCAGTGAAATTTATGACTCCCACTTTGCATGAAGCCCCAAATGAACATTGTCAGATATATCAATTATTGTGCAAAACCCACAAAACTTTAACTAAAGAGTACGTTAAGATCAACAATCTTTGATCGAGACATTTAAATGCTCGGGTAACAATTTGCCTGTGCATTACCATAACTACAGTGTAATCAGCGTTGCAGCAATCTTAACGTGAAACAGCAAAGCACGCATATGTCACAGCTGAAATTTTATACGTTCTGACACCTTGGCGAATCTTGAGTACAGCAGACCCCGGTAATGACTAGGGCCATATAACACGCATACAGTACTTATGGCTCGCAGCATAACACGATAGATGTGTCAACACCTGTTTTGAACGCTGATGGTCAAAATGCGACTTGATATATTAAATATCAGCGTATGGATCCGGCTTTCCTTCCTTGTCGTGTTTCGGTCTGGAGTCGTCCTCCGCAGGTATGTCAATAACAACATCCCACTTTCCGCACATTTACAACTTGGCGAACTTATATTGTCCCCAACCTGTAACCAAACATGAAGAAATGTCACGTATCGTACTCACATGTGCACGCCACCTCAGATTTACCCCATTTTCTTCTTTCGAACATTTTTCTTTGCAAATACAGGTGACTCTAGTTATACACGGAAGTTGCGTTCCTGCGAACATCCGCGCAAAACGGATAACGTAAAACAATAGTCATTCTGATGTTAAACTGACGAGCCTGAAGAAGGTTTGGCGCAGGTAATAAGTCTTTAAAATTTTACCTCGGATAGGATATAGATATTGATGCTTCTCGTACCGAATAAAACCGCGAATAACGAGTCAATGTCACGGTATATTAATGGCTGCATATGGCCTATGGGACATAGCTTGTAGATTCGAGTTATCCTCCCAAAATTATTCAGTATGAGACTGTAAATAAACTGAATAAACTTCA